AAAAATTCATGAAAACGTGATCCTTTTAATGACTTTTTCAGTCAAACTAATGTAGATCAAACTCCTTGAAGTAGATTTACCAGTGCTAAATATAGATGATACGGCTGAAAACGATGCACGATTTTACAAAGATAAAGCACTGTCTTAAATTATTGTTAAAGAATTATAGATGAAAAATTCAAAACTATAAAGACAAAAGTTAGAAAACAGTCATGCAAAAGAAGGAATGCTGAAGGAGTTCTGAAACGTTTTTCATCATACCTTAAGTGCCAGTGAATGTGCTAAGTTATCTGTAAAACAACAAAGTTGGCAAATTGAATAGATAGCTGTTTAATGCAATAATTATTGATAAAAGTGGAAACACTGATTGCTTAAGTAGCTGATACACTATTGACTCTGAATAGCATGAGGATTGATCACTTTTGATTGGATTTTTCCTTGATTATCATTAGAAAATTCATTATTCAACACTGTAGAGAGAACAGGAAAAAATACAACTAAAGTGTATGCAGCTTGAAGTTAAAGAGTTTCTAATTTTTATTTTATTAATTTATTAAAATACTTCTTCTAAGCTATACTTTTCATTCTTCATGACTTCTTTCCATTTATTTTTTCAAAGCTACAAAGTGATGAATGTCATAAACGATAACAACCACTTGTTCTAGTTTTGCTAAATTAAAAAATAGATGAATTTTGGATTATTAAATTGAGATTCTAAAATGTGCAAAAGTTTAACTTATATAGGGCTCTTGAAAATTTTATAAAAATGTTCAATGATGCATAAATATAAAATTAAAAAGCAGTTAAATACTAAGATTCATTAAGACAAAATGCTTTTACTTCTATAAAATTCAAGGTTTAAAATTGCTTTAGAGACAAAACACAAATTTACAGTGAAATTTCAATATATTCTAATGCAGAAGAAAAAAAAAATTTAATGTATCCTTTTAATATATTTTTACATAATAGTGAGTTTTCAAGATATTTTATTAGTTATTCTAAGAACAAATACGATGAAATCTGCGAAAAATATATGATTCTTCAAACAGAGTTTCCCCGAAATAAAAATAGAAGACCACTGTAAGCATGAATATGAATCCTTTACAATCGATTGCCAGCGTAGTAAAAGATCAAACAGTGACAACCGTTATGGTATAGAAATCTATGCTTTTCGCAGTAAGCTTGTGTGCATATTTAATCTTTTGAACTGCAATACTACAATATTAATAAATGCGTGTTTTCCATCGTATTTGTTCGTTCAGTTTGGTGTAGTACTTCCATCAACTCCAAACAAGCGGTACAGATTATCATGTCATTTTTGTTTGGCATGGTTAATCAGAAATTTGTTTATTCGAACAATTATTTTTCAAGTACTAAAAGTCATTATTCGCGATTGTTTTGTAACATTCTCACGGGCTTATGACTTATTTCGTCTTAAATGGGGAATGGTGCTTATGCTAATTTTTTTCTTAACAATAATTACTTCTATTTTTTCTTACCCCTATTTCTGCTTTATCCTTAAAAAATGTATAGTTTCATTGTTTAAATTACTATGCTAATCACTCAGTAACAGACAAAACCATTACATAATTTTAGTGAGTAAAAGCACTACAAAATATAAATCTGTGGGAACTCAAATTAAAAATACGTTATTCAGTTTATTACACATTTTATTTAGTATCCATGACCTCTTTTTAACAAAAGGGTAATATTTTGCCTTTTGAGATGTTAGATGGCTTCAACTTTTATTCTACTTGTTTGCGTAGCAAACATTTCATTAAAAATGTGCCTTACATTAGTTTTTGAAATTACTTACTTGATTTAATAGTTGATCAAAGATTCTTATCCAACAAATTATTAAAAATATTTCGTTGTTGACAAGTATTACACGAAAATTTTGTACTTTTCAAGAGTTCAGCAGTTAATGATAGTATGACCTAAGTTTTTTTGGTATGCTGGTGTTACAGAAGTAGTAATAGGAAAAGGGTTCAGATGTGTTTCATCCAGTTGAAGGTACTACACAATGCAAACTCAACCTTCCCTATCAGAAGAGGAAGGACAGCGACATTTGCTCCCTTTGAACACAATAGAAATCAGGTGGAATAAAATTTCCTTTTAAATTAGATGAGCTATTTAAATGTCCTTGAACTGTGCCAATTTCCAGGATAGGAAAAAAGTGCTGTAGGCGAGTTAATGAACTGAAGTTCACAAAAAATACTAGTTTTCACTTAAGAGCTTTGATGTGGATGGGAAATGCAAACTACTGAGAAAAATCGCCAAAAGCTCAATTTGTGCTTAGGAACAATTTTTTTGGATTTCTTCCAGTCCAGTAAAAATTTGACTTATACTACTTAAGTTTTCTACATGTAGGTCACAGCACTCACACTGTTTAATTCTATATTAAATTCTTACAAAAATGAGCGCGAAAAAGTTCATCCCTATATTCAAATTCCTGTACCAGCAAAAAACGCACTACAACTGCCAGATATGTGATTCAATCTGAGTAGGGAAATCCGTTTCCAGAGTATCCGTTAGTTGCTGGATGAAAATTTTGTTTCACCGAAAGAAATAGTGATTATAATTGAAGTGAGCTTTGGCCCAAATGCTTACTTATGCACTTTTTCGTGAGACGATAAATCTTAAAGAATGACGATAAATAGCTAGATAACTACTGACTGAAAAATTACCCTTGTGAACGGGCAAACAAAAATTGCATAAGGAATAGTTCTTAAAATTTTTGTGAGTGCTCCATCACTGAGAGAAACAAATTAACTCATAAGTTTATGATCGATTGCTCCTTTGTCGAATCCAGCAAGGAATGAAACTTGATAAATGATGATTAACAGAAGAGAAAGTTGCGTCTGACTATTACAATAAACGATGGACAATTAATTATAAATTATATATTTGGGCTTCCTTAGTAGCTAAACATCCAAAGTATTTCATTAAAGCATTTTTATTTAATCGCATATGAAAAGATTTGCTCTCTCAATCCTGAAGATCTGCTCTCTCAATCCTGAACTCCCAAATAGATGAGATCTCTTGTTATGCTTTTTGAATTAAATAACTAAGGAGTTTTATATTTCATAGTATAACACGAACATGAACGTGTATCACATGTATCAGATTTTTATGTATCTAGGATGTGGAGAAAAAAAATATGCACCAGGTTTTTTATTTTCAGTACTAGGATGCGGAGAAAAAAAAACTTTCAATTCAGCTAACTACCGCAATAAAAGCTGTTAGGAAATTCAAGTTCAAACTTTAATGACAAAAAAAACTAAAATCTTGGATTCGACCAAAGTGCCTTTTAAATGCTGAATAATTTGTGAAACGCTAAATTCGGATAAAACGTGAATAGGTAGGTTATGGCCTTGTCTGGCAAATGCGTGACTGCAAAAATTTCATTTAATTTAGCACATTTCTTTCAAATATAAGAAATAAACATGGCAATTTTTGGTATGATACGAAATGCCCCCAAACTAGAAAGATTTTTCCTCTCCCAAACAGTTTCCGGTGTATTCATATAACAAATTAACGGAAGAGCCGTTAATCAAATACTGACTGAACACCAATTTCAGCAGTGCATTTTTATTGCTATGAAAAACACAACTAAGAAGCAAGTGAAAAAAAGCCAACAGTAATTGAGCACAACTTATAAAGGTCACTTGCAAAACTTCAGAAAAGAAAATACACATTGCATACTTCAAGACATGAAATGAATGAAATGTTCCGTGCCGAGAGAAAGTACTGTCTCAAATGTCGTACCTTAGAAGGTCTTAAATCACCAGCCCAATAACTATCAAATTTACAAGACAAATCTTTGGTCCGCCTGGTTGGCTCTTTGAAAAAAAGCATTTGTGAGAAGGCAGGAAATTATTTTTGTGATTCCCTATGTATTTTAATACAGTAACAATAACTTGTACTTTGGCGTCACTTGCAGCTTCAGATAAATTTTTGGTTTTTGAAATTTCAATGTGCCAGCACGAGGATGACGAATATAAAGTTAGAGGAAAATTAAAACATTAAACAAAAAATAGACCCATTAATTTCCTAACAAATGAATGAAATGATTTATTACAACAATAGCATCAAACAAAATCCCTTACACGCATTATCAGTTTTAATCTAAAATGAAAGCTAAAGCCAATGTCTTGAGGCATTTTTGAAAAAAATGATAAAAACAAGCATGATAAATTAGGACAACAAATTTTTCTTTGCAAGTTGCGAAGAAAATGCAAGAATCAAGAAAAATTTGTTGTCTGCAGGATCCACCTTTTTTGAGCATACAATTTTGAGTTTGTTGACAGTGACTTCGGAATCCAACCATACTATAGTATCTTTTATTTGATTTCTGGAGATCAAGAAATTTCATTAAAACAAATCTTATAAAAAAAATTAACAGTTGTTAATATCAAGCAGATATTACATGTTTACATGTTAAATATTCAGTTAAAATATATCAATATTTCATTTCGAATATAGATACTAACAGTAAATATAAATTAAGTTTTAACTGCTTGTGTAATTGTTGGGTTCGGGAGATTAAGAATAAATGATTCCATGGAACGATTGTATTAATGATCAAAAAAAACTTTAAAAGAAAGAATTTAACATCTGTCTTCAAAAAGGCAGCTTCAACTCAACAAAGACTTGTCAAGAAACAGCCACCATATCTGACAATAAAACGTGGCACTAAAACGATGTATTATTAATGGCACGAGATACAAAAACCATGCATCTTTAAACAACATCTACAAAAAATCAATAATTAGATCAGCTAAGACGCAGAAGCTAATGATCAGTCGCGATCGGTATTACGTTAGCTCAAGATACAAAAATGTCTGCTATCTGCCAAAAAGGTCAGAAATGTTGCCGATATTCTGTTCACAATGGTATGTTGAATGATAACATCACTGGCTGCAATACTTTAAAGAATCATGAAAATTATGGGAGCAAGAAGATTTCATTCAAATTCAACAAACTAAATCCAAAAAAATTTAACGACCTATTTTCCCTACCTTGTGATCACCCATGCATATATCCTTCCCAAAACTATCATATTTCGCATTTTGATCCTGCTTAACTAATTCAAAAGCTTCTTCATTCATCAACACACGATCACACCACGCTGGAGCGCGTGTCTTTAATAAAGATTCCGATTTATCTGGGTCCTCGCTCCACGGATATCTAAAGTCCCATAATAGCGTCCATGAAAGTTAGCCGCATATTATCGTAATACATTTCTTAACTATGAAAAATAAGTATCGTAAATCAATGCCATTATAAAACAGATTCAATAGCGAAAGTTTTTTTGTCCGATGGATAACAAAAAAAATGAAACGAAGAATAATTAAAACAATCTCATTCACTTTCGGACTAATCTTTTATAATTCTATTATTAAATACAGTTCAAGCATTTCAGAAAAAGACCTAACCACAAGATAGCTGACTAAACAAACTTACGTTGGTGGAAAATCAATGTTTAGTTCATATAAACAAGGGAAATTTCGTACTTCTCGATCATCTTCCAAATAACAACGCCACTCATTCAACAAGCGCTTGTGGTTGACATAATCGAAAAGTTTTTTTTCGATACGAAGAATACAGCTGGAACAATGAACTCTTGGGTGCTTGTGTAATTAATCTTCATGAACTTTATTCAACATAACAGAACTAAATCTGATATTTACTTGACTTCAATTCTACGTTTTTTGCTGAAACATATTTCAAACTCTTACTGCATATAATATTTGGCATTATTAGATATGCGAAAAAGGTAACTCGTCAAATATATGAGTTGTTTTATATGAAGAGAACCAGCAAACAAAGTAAAATATCAAGCCACACTTTATAATAATTACAGTTTTATTAAATGCCACACTTTATGAATGAGGTTCAGCTTACCTTGATGAAAAATCGACTTTGGAATTATTAGGTGATTGCCGGAACTCAATCGCTGATACAGTCCGCCTGAAAACTGTATTTTGTTTAAGCTCACCAGTTTGCTGAGAACCTATCATCACTGGACAATCAGATTCTCTGGTACTACGTATACTTGATTCAGTAGATTCCATTGAATCTTCTCGCAAGTCAGTACCAGCTGTTATACGCTACAACGAGAACTCAAATTTAAATACAATCACTTTACTGCTTCCAATGAAAATAGAATTTCTGAAGTGCTTGACGAAAACAGAGATAAATTAAAAACTAGAACACTTTGATAAATTACTCACAAAATTTTTTCAGAAATATATAGAGGCAATTGCTAAATATTAGGATAATGGTTTCAAATTAGCGAGCAACAAATAGTAAGTAAAAAAGTATATTTCACATGGTATGCCACATGCGTTGTGAAATAATTTGATCAAAATCTTTGCAATCTGTGGATATCAGTTTGTAAACGTAAAATTGTGAAAGATCATGAAAAGGGAATTAAAACAAGGATATATATATATATATATATATCTCACATTCAAAAACGATCGCACATCAAGACGAAAATTCAAATCACCAAATATGAAAAGCGGATACAAATGATCTTCACTAACTCTTTTCATTTCATTTAGAACGAAATCGAGAGCCCTTTTCCTGTTTTCACTGTAAAGTGTTGGATTCTGCAAAGCAAAAATTGCGAGAACACTTTTGGAAAACTTATACATGCATAACTCACTTTTTTTTTGCTGCAGCCAAGTCAAGAAACTAACAAAAATTTGGAAAATAAAAAAGCGCTACTTTCTATTGATACAAAACATTCATGAATTAAAAAACGCGGAATGCACATCCAATGTGGTCTATTCAACAGTAATTTCTTGATGGAATTTAATCATTTAATTTATGCTGGTAATAAAGATTTCGATTTCAAAAAATATGATCATTAATAATTATTATCTGAAAAGGGATTTTTCAATTTTCGTTTTTAACAAAATATATCTATGTAAAAGAATTATCAAAAAGTAAAAACCTCGTGAATAAGAGCGATATTTGATTCATCATGAAAGAGATGCACATTGACGAGATCGAACACACTGAAATCTCTAACATGATAAATTATAATTTTGAAATTTTAAGAACAAATCTGGAATATTCTGACTATCTAATCACTAACTTTCTAAACATACTTTCACTAAAACTACTTACTTTTTCAGGTTCTTTGTTAACTAGAGTGATAGTCAGAACATTAAGTTATCTTAATGCTCTAACTATCACCCTGATCACTGAAACGGTTAAGCCATGTGTAAGCAGCCACTAAACATTTCTTTCGCATAAACTGAATGATCTGAATAATAAATAACTAACGTTTCGTCTACTCTAAACCTGCAATGCATATATCCTTTTCTGCTCCACTTCACAGCTGGCCAAAAATCTTGAGGAAATTTTGATTTTCGCAACATCTGACATTTGAGCAAACCATGGTTATATGATCTGAAAACCTTTTCTAATACGACGAATTGCTTTTTCACGAAATCATATTGTTGTATACGTGGTAATATTGCATCTTTAATAAAGAATATTGAACCAAGAGCCTGAAAACAAACTACATTTCGTTCAGGTATTTTTTGTTTACATAATGCAATTGAAAATTCGTCAAAAATTTGTTTCAATTAAAAACTTACAAGTCAGCAAAGTTTTTTCACAAGTTGAAAAAAATGACAAACTTCTGTTATTTAAAGTAGCATAGTTGACACACAATAGAATGAACTACTGAAGTTATGACATAAAATCATGAAGACAAACATTGTAACTTTCCGGTTGCTGAAACTCGAGATCCAAATAAGCACGACCGGTTGAATATTCTAAATTATGAAAAATTCCTGCTACGCGATCAATAAATTTAGGTACTTGATTAGTGCATTCCGTAAAATTCTTTCCACCGACTTCTTGCATATGTACAACAATGAAATCAGAATTGCTTTCTTTGATGACCTACAAAAAGGATAAATATTTTGTTGATGTAAGCGTTTGAAGATTAGAAAATACAGCTGTCGACTTATAGTCATACTTTTTTCTATTTGTTCTGACGCTTAGTTTTTTCTATGTTTTTGTAATCTGTACATTTTACTGTCAACTAATTTTGAAACACAGAATGTTACTTTATTTTACACCTTCTAGAAAAAGCTTACAAATCATCACAGCATCATTTCCACACAAATAATAACAAATCGTCCAGAGAGTTTAGTAAAATTACAGTTTTTCGTTCTCCCATATTTTAAAGCTCTCAAATACATGGCAATCCTAATTAGTTAGATGTAACAGATTAAGGATGTTGCAATTTGTAGATAGAATACTATGAAGATGTTAGTTCGCCAAAGTAAAATCTGAACTAAATGATTGAGAGCTCAAATTTTATTCTTAATGTCCCTGCAACAAAAATGATAAAGAAACGGAAGAAATTTTCTCCAGTCAAATATTCATGTTACTAAAGGAAAATTTTATTATTCAGAAATTTACCCGATCAAAAGCTGCCAACCAACCGTTGTGGATGCGACATGTCTGAAAATACGAAGCATTTATCATTTTCATATTCTTAACTTCCTTTCTTTGTCTCATTTAAAAATCAAAATTGAAACACGTTAATTTTTTTCTTATCTTCCACATTTTTTAAAAAAGTTTCCAGTTTTAAAGTGGAAAAAGCCGCATAGTCTCAATCTTTAAGATCTGAATAATTGCATTAGTCGGAGCAAAAATCACAATATTAATACAACAGTAATTCGAACGCTAACTTCTTCGAAAAGCGATCCAACATTTGCTGTGATCAATAAAAATTTCATTGCCTATCCCTTCGTCACCTGTCCAAATTCCATAAACAAAAACTCTAGAAAATCTGTGATAATTATGAATTTGTCTTTTGAAAATGAGAGGAGAAATCAAAAGTTCAGTAGATACGACATTAGACAAAATAAATGATACTTTTGAAAATGCTTTGATTTAAAAAAAGAGAAGTTTACATGATAACGCGTGTTTTAAATATAATTCAATCAATATTCCATCAGAATCCCTGTTTTCCGAAGAAAGACCTGAAATAATGGCAGAAATATTTATTTTGAAAAAGAAGCAAGCAAAATTAAAAACACAGAATTTGCAAATTCGTCGCTTTTCTAGTTCAATAATGAAAATCAAAAATAAATACTAGTTTTTAAAAGTAAAGATCCGTTTCCACTACAATTTCTTATCAATTTCCACTTTTTCAACCAAGGATGTGATTATTACTATACATTTAGACTCGGAAAAAAGATGATTCACTAGCTCTACATCAGTTACTTTAACTGACAATGGTTCTTTGCAAATTCAGTTCAGTTACAGTCATCTTGTTAGTATGATACCTGTTCAATTGTCATCGTATATACGTATGCAATCAAAAATAATCAACTGCATAAAAGATGTTTAAACTACATCCCTTAACAACCTAGTTTGAACTATGGTATGACCTCAAAAAGCAATTAATAGCCAACTGCATCTCTTTGTGAATTAATAACTTGTGAATATATTTAGGCTTTGATATTGCAAATTTTTTCTTGAGAGATATGGAGCAAAAATATGACCACTAATAATGGTAAATGCATTCAACATATGATACTTTATTTTAATTCTAAATAAATCACGACGAATAGGGACTGAGTCAGGAAAGGCGCCTCATAAAGCAATTGGTGACTAGCTATTACACTTAAATGCAAGTTGAAGTAATTACTGATGAAAGTAAAAATACAGATGAAGTGAGATTTATGGGAACAGAATTTCTTTTACTGCGTGTGTCATGATATTATTCGTATCACGTTGGTCCTTTTAAGACCAACAAATTTTCTTGCTTTAAATCCCTTCGATCTCAAAAGGAGACTCTATAATTGTGAAAATAAGATAAATATTGAGGAAATAGTTGCAGATAACCTATAAAGAAAGAACAACTATTAAGCACTCACAGATTATTGTGGATTATCGGAATTTTTCTCGTGAGGAAATGGTTCACTGATACGACGCTATTCTACAGTACTCTCATTTCATTCTTGACGAAGATTCTATTGAATTCTCGTTTACTTCATAATAAAATGGCTTATGAAAGATGAACAACTTCCGACACTTATGATTTTAATGCCTCATTATTCCTGTTTCGTCGTTTGGGACTAATAGATGAATCTACAATTATACATGTGATGCAATAAAAATGTTCAAGACAATCGATCTTAAGATCATGTCTTTTAAGCGCCAACAACAGAAACAGTCTAATGTTACTAAAATTAACTAAACTTATTTTAATAACATTGGACAAGTATATAAATGTGTCCTGATCAACATCCAACGCTAATTAATGGATTTGACCTTGATTTTTTGGAAGAGAAGTTATCATGAAGTTTATACTTAAAGCTTATAACTATTTACATATTCCAGTCTGAAGATTGTGATTAAAGGACAGGTCAATTGCTTAAAGTCAATGAAGTATGCCTTTGTCTGAATCAACACAAAATAAATGGGGTAAGGTGAACTTTTCTTCTTCAAAAGTAAACCAATAACACCTTTAAATAAATGATAAATAATGTGCATGATATACCAACTCAACACTCCACAAATATATTACATATCATTTTTACTCTCAGTACCCATGATTACATTTATTCACCAAAAATTTTCTCGTTCTCTACCTGCTGCTTTAATATTGACTACTTTGCGCTTATGGTAAGTTTAGTAAGCCACGAATAAGAGGGAATCAAAACTTTTAACGATCGTCGACTCCTCGCCATACGTTATAATAGTTAAGCATCAACCAAAAATGATTCAATACAAGCACTGAAATAAAAAGACGAAAGAAAAGATCTACTTTTTTGAACAGAGAAACCTATTTTGTCTTATCTTTATATCTGCATCACTCATATAATTTGAAAAAGAAAAAAGGAATTTGATATCACGTTCAATAATCCTAAAAACCTAACACGTTAAAAAAAAAATAATCTACTATCAGTTATAATATCAGCCAGTTTATTTGTAACTGCGAAACCTGAGAAATGGATTATTTTTTGTTCCATTTAAATGAATGTGATAGATGCAGTGGCACGGCTATCTTGCACTGCATTTAATGTGACTGGCTTCTCTGAATTTAGCATAAATAGAGACTGAAAACGCTTACTGGAAACGTTGTATGACGACAACGTTGTATTCCAAGTTTCCTTGCAACGTTGTATTCCAAGTTTCCGTTGTTTCCCATTACTTGGAAAAATTCCAAGTTGATTTTTTTAATCAACTTGGAATTTTTCAAAGCAATGGAAAAGCCATTTCAGTAAGGACTGAACTAAGACTAGTGTCAAATGACTCCTACAGTTTCTGCGGACTTTGATTTCGCCAGAAACAAACAAATAACAATAACATAATCTACAAATTCTCATTACAAGAGAACAAACCTTCTCAATAATATTATATTTTGCATGCATAAAAATTTATTGTTCTAGGTGAAGCAAAATGATTTATAATCTTTCAAATTAAAAAGCAATTAAGAGGAATTGTCTTGAACACAAATGACATCCACAACACAAAGTACGGAACAGTGCCAAATTCATCTCCAAGTTCAAGGCAGCCGACCACATTTCACCACTCGGCTAAAAGTAGAAAAATTTAGTTCATAACCATACCAAATTTTGGGTCCCCATAATGTCGTCGTCCTAGTGCGTGTCCATCCTTTGCAAAAATGAAAGGAATTGAATTGTGATGTGGAATAAATAGTGAAAAATGGATAGCGAAAAGATGATGGGAGCGAGTATGCAAAAAGCGAAATAATACTAGTTCATTCCGATGTAGTTTTTTCGAATTTAATGAGCACTTTGTCAAATATGTGCTCTTCAGAAGATTATGGAACTTGGACGTGAATTTCACAACTTACATCTTGTCATCCGCAGCGTTCGCGTAATTAGAATCATGGAGAAAGAAGCAGGATGAAGTAAAATCAACCACTTTGCATTGATTTCGAGTAAAGAATGAAATACATGCGGGAAACATTTTTTACACTTGAAATTCAATGAAAAACGTTGAAGTACACCTTCTTCATTCAATAAATATTACGAATGAGTAGTTTTGTTTAGTTCTGTTTGCCTTTATGAATGAGCAAAATTGTAATTTGATCACAGCTAATAATTTTTCACGACAAAGAATAAGGGCAGCATGGAAAGAAAAGATTGCAAGAGCGGAGGTCAAGGAATAGAAAGGAAACATATGGCACACACAGCTTGGAGTCCACGATTTCGACTTTGCCGTAAGTTCGTCTACATATAAATTGGAGTAGGAAGGAGTGCGAACCAGAGGTGAACTGGCCAAGAAGTGCGCTAAGTGTGATGATAGCATGAGAACCAGGCTGCTTGGAATCAATTAATGCAGGTATAAATAAATAGATGACATAAGGTAGCTGATTCGTTCCGGCTAAACCCGACTCCACATGCCTCGCTCGTTTGATTTTACTACTCACAAGCGTTTATTACAAAGTTCAAGTTAAAAAAGTCAAGCTGTCCATTTCCTGTTTCTCCTTTTCTTACTTTTGCTCAGCATTTATTCCGTTCACTCATTCATCCACCAACTACTGGCACTAAAATCAGCAAGGAGTTTTAGCTACAAGAGCAATATGTTGGTAGAGTACCTTGTACTCATGAACGATTGCAAGTCGTGCATGTAGCCTTAAGATTAACGATGCTACTCATCCCGTTATACATACTCCTTATTTACTTCTTCATCCTGTATTTATGTACTGTTAGCACAAGTTAGCTCGTCACTGTGATGCTAATACCAAATCGCAACTCCACATAAGCTAGCCACTAATTAACCATTTATATAATTAATGAATGAATGGCACGTGCGAAGTTGCAATAGTTCGATTCTCGACGTGTTACTGTGGTACTGACACTACTTCTTTCTTATTAGCAAGCTAGCCAGTATGATCCTTATTCTTCGTAACTGCCATCAAGACACGATTACATGGAAACTTTCACTCTCACGAAAACTGTTAATGCAATGCATTTCTTCTCTGGAATTTGAATTCAGAATTTGTTCAATACTTCCTACTGATGGGGCATATTAGCACCAAGGGAGTAGTCACCGTGCTGCTCATGTATTTTTGGTTAGCTATGAAAGTTAAAGTTAGGGCTGAATTCAGTGGCCTCTTGTTTCGCTGTAATGACTGACACTGCTATTTAAACTGCCAGCCCGACCTTCTCACTTCAAATTTTAATATTTTTGCGCTGACATAACCTTGTCTCTCGAGAAATTTCCGTACTACTGATTTCTTGAAAAAAATTTCCTTCAGCTAATCTTTTCTCAAATAATTTAAAACTAAAGGCTGAAGAGAGAAATTTCTGCACAATTCCAATGATCTATTTAACCACCCATTACTTGAAAATTGTGACTCATGAGAAATTTCAATAAACGTATGTTAAAGCCAACACATTTCCTGTGAGAAAGAAGCCTTTGCTTCGAAATACGATTATTGTTTACTTGAAAGACAACATCAGGATAGGCACTGAAATTACTCTGCAAAAAGCGGTAGTTAGTGGTATTACACAAGATTGTATATAAAACGATGAAAAACAAAACAAAATTAAATTTCAAACGCAATTCATCATGCAGGATACTTCATACTCATTACAAAAAGAAACAGCTAAAATTATGAGTGAAATACTTAATAATATAATTAGCATCATCATGAAAAATACTACACATTACTAAGACTTCCAGAACAGTACAAACTGTCACTCTTGACTGAGTGATAATTTCCAGGTTATATCTGAACACAGAAGTTACACTTAAACAGAAAAATGAGAAAAGTGAAGCAGCTGCATAATATAAAATTTGAGTTGATTCTATCGTTCGAGTTGAGGCAAAAGTGAGGAACTGATAGCATGTATATTTACAAGGAATCACAACAGACGTCTGAAAATAAAACAGACATCAGAATCACAATAGTCATTTAAGAGTACAAAAACGTTACTGGGTCTTCCTCAATCTTCTCTCTAGATATCAAATAACTTCTGAAATACCTTTTTCCTACATTATTTCGTCACCACCTTCAGCACCGCAATTCTGATGTATGTCTGTCACATGAGGCTTCTCATTTTCAGTATGTGACGTTTCACGGCAATCTATGCCCAAGCTATCACGAATAAGTACAGATGATTCATTATGAGATGCATGAGGTGATACTGACAACTGTTCTTTTTGATTCTGTATGACAAATAATTACATTCCAATGTATGCCAATATACATAAATATTACTTAAACAGTTTATTTATCATCAGAAAACTTGCATTTTTAGAACCTAAAGTACTAAAAAATTTTGTCGGCAGAATCATTGAAACGTAATGCTTTTTTTTAGAATTTGAACTGACAATTTTATTAGCTTCGTTTAAAGTATTTAAAATATCAACTTAATAAGATTTTTCGCAACTTACAGACAATCTTTCTGGCACAGCCGGCATTTGTAGTTGTCCATTTTGAAATAGCAGACTTTGAGCTGAACAGACTGGAGTATAATAGTTATCATCAGATCTGAATGTCTGTTTCATCAGTATTACATCGTCGTCTTTCTTCTTCTTTCTAGATGTTATAGAATTTAAAGACGGCGTGAATTCCTGAAATCATTATTTAGCGCAACATCAACGAGGAAATTCAAAATTTATTGGCCAATAAATAGTGAACATAATGCAAGCACACTTCAAAATTTGGCCAACTTGTTTCGCATTCGGGACCGAATTTCTTTGACCAATTTTTCAAGTCATCATTAAAACGACTACTATCAGTAAAAAGCTTCTTTTCTAAACAACGATGTAACTGATTTAATCTGAAAGAATGGATTTCAAAGTTTACGTTGACCTCTGACAGTAATAACAACGTTTCATGTTTACGTTAAATTGAAAACCAGTTATAAATCTAGCACCACAGGAAAGCGTAGTATTTCAAATTTAACACCCCAAGGAAATGAAGCATTCAACTTAAATAAACTAAACTTAAATAAATGCGACAATTACTTTGGAGCATTTGCTATATCAGAATAGATTTTCTGCAAATTGGAGAGCATTTCGAAAACGAATTTCAAACGCTTCAACTCTTTTCGTTGACATGCCTCAAAAACCTAAAACAGTACATCGATATTCAAGAAGTGAAACAATCGTTTCTTGACTTTACTTTAATCTGCAGATGAATTATAAACTGCAAGGTTTATATCCCAAAGAAAAGATATTTTGAAAAAGCCACTAAAATGTTTTCTAACGTGTATTACAATATATACTTGTGCATGGGACCTTACATCATTCATATGTGAAACATAATTTTTCTTCAAAAGATGCAAGTTATCAAGTGTAGTACGATAAACTTTTTCGGATCTTGTCAGTTCATCCTGACACTTATGATAACGATCACGACATCTGGATTCTAAGTCGACAGCAAGTGTTCCATCACTGCATGTATTTCTCATCTAGAAATTAAATTGCATGTATTTCTCATCCAAAAAATAAGACGAAAGCTAGAAATATACAAAACGGAAAAATATTAATTTATAATCATAAGAGATAACAAGCAAAAACTGAACCATTCATGACGAAAATGTCGTTGAATGGAAGGAATGAATTATAACCTGCACAAGAGCGGATCGTTCTGACCTAGCTGCTGCATGAAATGCTTTTTTTGCTTTTTCAACTTTCTCATAATGACGACGCCATGACCGCTGAGCCCTTTCAAAATCATCCTCAATTTCACGTGTTTCTTTAGATGCCCGAAATGCCGATGGGTGATGATTTTCTTTCAAATATAAAGTAATTGTCTTCAAAATCTAGAAATTTTCTTTTAAATGATTACTCAAAGTGAAAAAAACAATATATCAATTGACCTTGCATCAAACTTCCTTAATTTGCCTCATTTAATAATCTAACAACAGCAATAAATCTTTACTCAACAAATTGAAGCCTCGTTCACGAATGCTTGAAATAAACAACACACATAAGAATGCTTGCTTTATAAAATGAACCTCATCACATATTCGATCTCGTATATTTGTATGCAATCGCTGTAATTCAATACTTTCCTCTAAAATATCTTTCCATACTGTTTGTATCGCTGATGATGTCATACCATTCACATGATCGGACCATTTATCGTAATAAAGTTGCAGACACTTACTATAGTTTGTCTCTATATCCATTCTTTCCTTAAAAGACGAAGAGAATGTCTGTTGAGGTTTCCAAGCGTATATATTTTAAAATAGATAATTCAAGTGACGCTATCACTAAGTTTTAAGGAGCTTATGGCTATATAAGAATATGAAATTTTATAAAACAGAAAGAACTTCAACTAAAGTAAACACAAGGAATATGTAAAAAACAAACTAGAAACTATTGAACGATTAAAACTTAAAGTGAAAAAATGATTTAAAATATTATAACTGAAAAACCCTAGAGCGAAAAAATGAATTAAAATATTACCAGTGAAAAAACCTAAGGTGAAAAAATGAAACAAAATATTATCACTAAAAAACCTTTATCATTGTTTGAATGCCACTGAGTTGTTCAATTCCATCTTTGTAACGGCGAACATTTTCACGATAACCGCCAATATCATAGAAAGAAGTAGCTGAATCCATTATGTCTGCAGAAGCACTCATTACGAGCAAATTAAAAAGCAAACACATTATGCAAACGACGATAATGTAATTTTTTGGAGTTCTCCCAAAATTTGCGGTCACAAAACATGCTAACACACTTTTATTTAAAATAAATGGTTTTCCTACCAAATTGTTTGAGTTTTTACAGTCACTGGAAGTGAGGAATGAAGTGAAATTATGATGAGATGAGAAAACTGAGCTCGTAGACAAGTAATCTACCTTAGCAGAATTCAGAATATAAGTGAACTTTACCAATGTGACGACTCTGGATGGGCTCATACTGTCAAGTTTTCGATGCACTCAGAAAGTAACTCAAATTCGGATATGACTGCAACCTCTTCTAACACGCCGCAAAGTATACAATTCACAAGTGACTGAAAAATGAAAAAAAATATCATATCTTTAATTACTTTACCACATCCTGATTTGATGAAAGAGAATAAGTACGTGAATGGATGATTAATAACAGATAACATGGAGAGCACTATTCATTTCTTGGAAAGTGTTAAAATGCATCATTGTAAATGATCGAAGCATTCGTTAACCAGCATTCTGCTACAACTGAGAATAAAGAGCTAATGAAGACAAGTTTTTATGGCAATCCAACTAATCTATTTTGGAATCAATGCAATTTCTATTTAAAAGGCAATACATCATGTTATTAAGCAGTTATCGCTGTAAATATGCTGCATTAGAAATAATAGGTCCTATCAACAACACCCTCCTCTGCAGTGCACCAACCATTGATAACATGTGGAAAGGACATTCATACAATAATAATAGTAGTTTTAGGAGCATTTATGTAAGTAACCGCGAATTCGTCATTCCTATTACGATGGCAAACAACAATTCTAATGAATGAGTAAGAATAATTGTCACGACATTCATGTAATAATAATAATACTAGAGATGATACTGAAAGCAGAACATCGATCACTGAGAAAAAGAGTCTCGTTTGGCTTTGTGCATGCAGAGCAGAAAGACAGTTTAGGTTCATTTCAGGGGCAGAATTCTGCGGAAGGCTATTGACCCACATGCTGATTACGTAGCACTCTTTGAACACTACAATTGTAGCTGATGCGCTGTAACGGTCAACACTATTCTTCCCAATAGATAGCTGATCCTCCATGTTTTTACCACATCATTTCATCAGAATTTAGGGCCAGCCACTGCTCTTTCAGTTTCATCATCAAAATTATTGATTGATTCCGGAATACAAATTTAGTAAGCTGTGAAGGATATAGAGTGGTGAATGATAGCAACAGAGGTTGGAATGCGGAAAAGTAGTGAAGAGTGAAGGTACCCTTACATTTTTTGTTGTTGATGATGATGTTCCCTATTTGTCCTCACGGTTTTTTCTGATTACAAAAGAAACCACTAGATAATATTTTTCCTATGACTTGAAGTTAAATAGTCGGTTTCTTTGGCATGCACTTCTTACCTTATTTTTGAACCATGAAGTGAATGTGATCTTCAAGCAAAAAAAAATCGTAGTACTAAAAAAAAGTTTAAAAAATCAAAAAATAATAATACTAATAATACCAATAATATTATTCTTCTACAGCAACTTTCGCAACTTTCGAAATTTAGTGGTCCATTTAGCAGACCCTGTTTAGTCTAAATTATTGTCCGAAGTTTCACTGGTTTTACAGCGATCATAACTATTTAAAATAAGTCAGACTTTGTTTGCATCTTAGAAAATTAAATCAGAAGAATGCCTGAATCAAACTGACTTAGAAGGAAGTATAACAGGAAGTAGTAGGAGAAAATGTCTAGCAAATCAAAATTTTGTATTTCGTAAATACATGGAGAAGCATTAAATTTGAACTATAGTAACAAATGGTCATGATTAAAAGACAAATGTTAGCAGCTTTATCTTATTTAAGCGACTTTTAATAAAATTGTTCTAAAACTCAATATTATCACATAACAGTCATGACCTGCGTAGTATTTTTACTTCTCTCATTTACACTGAAAAAGGAGACCGTTGTTTCCTTTGATTAGTACCAATAGTAATAGTACGGGTGAGAATGTAATCATCAAATTTAGCTTAATTTTTCACTTACACATAGGTAATAAATTCCAGTCAAGTAAAAATTAAAAACATATAATTTCGAAAATAAAAAGGTATGAGGAATGTTGATTATTGTTGATAGTTTCAATACGTGTGACAGAAATTGTATGAAAGAAGAGTTTAATTGAGGAACAAACAAACATGTTCTATCACAAGTTTTTTTTTAAATATTAAAATAAGTTTTTGTTATTACAAGTTATTTAGGTAGTGATGAAGAAAAAGGTTGAAAACTTTTAATGGAGAATATGTAGTTTAGCAGATGAAAGATGTAAACATTCCTTCCTTTTTATTGAGAATGTATTTTTATGGATTGAGATACCAGTAAAATTAGATTTTGGTGATAAAAATTTCAGTTCAATAAGTAATGTTGAAATCGTAAAAAACAATTTATAATATTAGTTCAATGTTTTTGTAATGTCGCGGTAGTACGAAGAAGTGATAATAATGCAGTATGAGAAGAAGACGTATTTGATAAAGATAACAAGCAAGAAAGAATAATGATGATACATTAATCATTTGAAAGAATCTAATTTTACTGGTATCTCCATCCATAAAAATACATTCTTAATAAAAAGGAAGGAATGTTTACATCTTTCAAAACTAATTACTGAAATTCTACATGCATAAGAACGTGCTAGTTGACACATTGTGTAATATTATTTATCGAAAACATAATACTAATATTATAACTGACATTAGTAGTTATTCTAGCAAATCAATAACAGAGGATAGAATATTATTTCATCGCAACATAATAAAGGTTTTCAGTTTATCCTAAGATTATTTTTCAAGAGTTTATTTTGAAAAGAATTGGTGCATCTATTTTTCTTTCATAAATGATGAGAAAAATCATAAGAACTGTTATTTGACCAATGACTACACAAAACTGGAAGTCTCAATGTGATGAATTATTAATTGTCTATTCAGATTAACGAAAAAATTTAAATTAAGCAAGATTCATTTCCATGTCGCAGAAAAAACAGATGTTTAAATGACGAAACTAAAATTATCAGGATAAGACGTTATAAAATGAAGAAAACGAAACTGTTGGATTCTGCATACCATTTCATTTTTTAAATGTATGACGAGAAAAAAAATCCTTTTTTGAAATGCAGCTAGAAGTTTAATGACTTTAACATGATGAAGACTTGCATTCTCTGTCTTTTTTCTGTCTTAAAAATGATAGGGAGGGTATCAATAAGAACCAAAAATTAATTTTTGGCAGTCCATAAATTACTAACTGAGAGAAAAAATTAAATTGAAAAAGGAAATATGGAAATGGAAATGAGAAAACGAAGGTCAAACAAAACTGAAATCAGTACTTAGTTGCAATTCCACATTCTCTTTAATTTGTAACATTTTCATGAAAATCTAACGGATATCATACTTCCAGAAATATCTAAAATTTCCTTCATTACTATTTGTCGTCGAAATAAACCAAAATGTGTCCAACTGTTACGATGAAAATGTATAAAAACATCTGTTACAAATATTGAGTAAATTCTTTCGATTTTCATTTAAAGCTAGTCTACTTTCATAAAATTTCGAAGCTTTGAGAATTATCGGTTCTAAGTCGAAATATTTAAACACCGATTTTACATTCTATATTATAAGCTTCAGATTTTTGAGACAATTTTCTAAAAAAAATTTGGACGAAAATTACACGATTTCCGTCCAAATAAATTGCATAAGCAAGGTTTTTTGATATTTTGAGAGGAACAACTAACAGAAACATTGTAAATCACTGATACATTATCGCAATAACCGTGAACAGAAGGAAATTTCACAAATTTTCGTGTACGAACTCATTGCGCTTCATCTAACTCTGTTAATTTCAATAACAAATGAAATAAAAGATTTCAATAACTGAGGTAATTGAATAAAATTTTGCAGATATCCTAATTGTAGGTGAAAGATTGACGAATGGAGCTGAAAATGGTGTCTGATAATTTTTGACCTTACGAGCAGTAACTGAACCGAAGAAATTAGTTTTTCATACCACACTCAACGAATATTATGGTTATTACCATCAAAAACAGCTTTTTATATTCATTTGAAACAAAACGGAACGGAATTTTATTTTTTACAAAGCAAAATCTTTTGTTTAAAGTCATGCCTTGTTTAAACCATTTTTCGACATATTTAACTACTGGTAACTATTCTATTATCTAATAAAGTGAATAAAAAAAACTGACAATTTTTGTCAAGCATAATTATAGCAATATTGCAGAATACTTTCGCCATGCGACTTGCTTTCAAACAAAAAAGAATCAGAAATGGCATGAAAAAGGCTAAATGCGGCGATCTACTAACAATGAAACTTCAGACACAGCATCTAAACTGTAATGGAAAATACATTATATTCAATCATTTTTTAATTGAAAGCAAAATTATGATCC